TCTGTAGGCTACACAATCATGGGGAAGACTGCTGACTTGACAGCTGTCCAAAAGACGACCATTGACACCTTGCACAAGGAGGGCAAGACACAAAAGGTCATTGCTAAAGAGGCTGGCTGTTCACAGAGCTCTGTGTCCAAGCACATTAATAGAGAGGCGAAGGGAAGGAAAAGATGTGGTAGAAAAAAGTGTACAAGCAATAGGGATAACTGCACCCTGGAGAGGATTGTGAAACAAAACCCATTCAAAAATGTGGGGGAGATTCACAGAGTGGACTGCAGCTGGAGTCAGTGCTTCAAGAACCACCACGCACAGACATATGCAAGACATGGGTTTCAGCTGTCGCATTCCTTGTGTCAAGCCACTCTTGAACAAGACACAGTGTCAGAAGTGTCTCGCCTGGACTAAAGACAAAAAGGACTGGACTGCTGCTGAGTGGTCCAAAGTTATGTTCTCTGATGAAAGTAAATTTTGCATTTCCTTTGGAAATCAAGGTCCCAGAGTCCAGTGTAAAGTTTCCACAGTCAGTGATGGTTTGGGGTGCCATGTCATCTGCTGGTGTTGGTCCACTGTGTTTTCTGAAGTCCAAGGTCAATGCAGCCATCTACCAGGAAGTTTTAGAGCAGTTCATGCTTCCTGCTGCTGACCAACTTTATGGAGATGCAGATTTCATTTTCCAACAGGACTTGGCACCTGCACACAGTGCCAAAGCTACCAGTACCTGGTTTAAGGACCATGGTATCCCGGTTCTTAATTGGCCAGCAAACTCGCCTGACCTTAACCCTACAGAAAATCTATGGGGTATTGTGAAGAGGAAGATGCGATATGCCAGACCCAATGCAGAAGAGCTGAAGGCCACTATCATCATAATGATATCACTCATAACACCTGAGCAGTGCCACAGACTGATCGACTCCATGCCACACCGCATTGCTGCAGTAATTCAGGCAAAAGGAGCCCCAACTAAGTATTGAGTGCTGTACCTGCTAATACTTATCATGTTCATACTTTTCAGTTGGCCAACATTTCTAAAAATCCTTTTTTTGTATTGGTCTTAAGTAATATTCTAATTTTCTGAGATACTGAATTTGGGGTTTTCATTAGTTGTCAGTTATAATCATCAAAAACAAAAGGAATGAACACTTGAAATATATCAGTCAGTGTGGAATGAATGTATACATTATACAAGTTTCACTTTTACTGAAATAAATCAACTTTTTGATGATATTCTAATTATATGACCAGCACCTGTATTTAACATTTTGCAAAACATGCATCACAGTGCAAAATGTGTTTTAGTTAGTGAGAATGTATTTAGCGTTTTGCAAAAAGAGTGGATGAGATTTGCAAAAAGAGTGATCGATTCGATACATGGATTTAGGCCATTGAGCATTTGGTTCAGAGAATGGGGTTTAGTGTTTTAGCAATTGTAAAAAACTGTAATGAGGAACCATAAAGTAACAGGCAGGAGAGGTACGTGCTTGTGATGTGTTTCCACAAAGTAGGATCTTCAAACGGACTGTGTTGCTGAAGGTCAGACTGAGTTCAGGCAAATGATGCAATAGCCATTATTCACAGCCATTAAAGGATATATAAAAAAGAGGAACTGTTTAGAGGCCAATCAATTTTCTCTGTTTTCCATTTTGTTAAAATCGGACATTAAGATTACTTACTCAGATTACTTAGGTTTTATTTAGGAAGCTTAAGGGATGTAACATCAATGCCTGTGACACAGACAAAAGCAAACATGATTTGGAAAAACTTTGGATAGATCTGAGATTTAAAAAAATGATTGACTGACTTTAGAAAGTACTTCACATTGACTGAGAACTGAAAACTATTCCCTAACAACTTAGAAAATGAGGAAACTGGCATTTTAATGAGAATATGTAAATGGAAAGTATGCCGAAATCTCAATGCCAAAAAACTAAAATATCTTACAAAGGTTAAGATTGTGATGAGAATTTTATCCATAACATCTGGCAAAAAGTGTAAAACTAAAGGCCTCCGTGAAGTCAAACATCCTGGCTCCTGATAATCTTAGTCACTATCAGTTACAAATTTGCTGTTATCGTCTCTAGATGACCAAACAAAGTGTTAGGAGTTTGTTAGTGAGTTCTGGGAGTACAGGGTTATACATCAGCACAGAGAGAACAGGCGGCCGTTAACTGAAGGTGAAGATTAAAGATTCAGAGGACAGGAAAGAACAGGCTACAGGTCATTTTATGGATGAACACTCCACCGCACCAGTCTATAGTCATTCAGGACAAACAGGGCGGCTTCTTTAAATGAGGCATAATGAACATGGCTCTTCAGTGTAAGTCTTTCCCTTGCTTATGTCCCTAAAAATAGATACGTGTGAACCGGAAATTTTTTTTACGAGCACAGTGTGCTAGTGAAGACTACAAGCTACCATAATCTTTCCCTCTTCAGTAGTCTTGTTTACATTTAGTGTGGGTGTGGGTTGTGTGGGTGCTACTGGTGTATCCTGTATCTGTCCTCATCACTCATCTCGGTGATGAGTTTTTAAAAAAGCTGTGTCCATGTTTTAAAAGGTCTTGACAATATTTTAAGGGCCATTCTGAGTGTCCAGATACTAGGGTCTTCCACTTGACACACACACACACACACAGTATAAATATGTATGTAATAATTTGTTTAATAATCTCTGTTACTTTACATTTTTCACTATGCTCCTAAATTTCTTTGTGCTCTTGCCCTTTATAAATGGGTTTCAGCCAACTTGAGGAAATTAATGAACCCACAATTAACAAATTGTTGAAAATAAACAGCTTGTTTGAGAGAGCTGACATTCAGAATCTTTACTGGTTCTCAGGCAACAGAGCAGTCAATAGTGTGAGGCTTCTTACTGAGAGACCAAATTGAAAAGGAGTAGATTCAATTAAGCAATCAGGCCTTAAAGCCCCCCTCCAGTGTATTTTGACATTTCTATGATATTTCATATTTTCCTTACAGTGTTGATTACCCACATAGTTTGCCAAATATTTTTTGCCAAATAGCTTAATTTTGTGCTCAAAGTTGCAAAAATTGCTTAGTTGTTAAAACGGGGTTGTGACGTATGACTATAGTAATTCCATAAGTCATACGTCATTCTCCAAGCTTGCGCAGGCGCACTGTCATCCTTCCTTAAAAAACTGTCACGCCGTCACGCCTCCTTAAGTCAGAGCATTAAACCAATAAACATCGTTGTGAGCTAGCTAACCAAAGTGTTTAGTTCTATCCTGTCCTTCATGTCTTGTTCTCTACCATCATGCTTGGGTTCTCTTTGTCTGTCTCTGTGTAGCCTTTATTATTGCATTCACCCACATCTGTAAGTTACTTCATATCTGTCTTGTCTCGTATCTTAGTTCCTAGTTTGTGTCTTTAGTTCTTAGTCCTGTGGCTTAGTTCATGTCTTAAGTGTTTACTCCTGGTCTGTGTACTTCTGTGTTTTGCACATGGGCACTGCTCTGAGTTCTTTTCAAGTCTTAGCTTCAGTCTGTGTTCCTTGTTGATGTTAGTTTAGTTGTGATCTGGATTAGTTTGTTATTTTCATTATTCTGATCTGTTACTACTTACTTTGACATGTTTGGTGTTCAGTACTTGTGTTATGTCTGTTCACCTCCAGTAATCTGCCTGTCAGCCAGTCTCTCTGTTTTCCCATTCTGTCTCTCTGCCTCGTTAACCCTGATACCTGTCACCTCATTAGCCCCTGTGTATAAATGTTTGGTGTTTCTGTTAACTCCCTGTCGCATGTCTGCTCAGTCCAAGTTCTGCAAGTTGCTACATTACACATTCTGTTTTTGGATGTACCAGTTCCCTGTACCCGTGAGTTTTTATTCCTGCCTTTCTGTCTACCTCTGGATTAAATACTCTGGAACTAGACCTCTGCTGTCTGTGTCATGCATTTGGGTTCTCACCTGCTCTGCGCACCCAGCGTTCCTGACAAGAATGGGTTATTATATGCAGAGAAGCTGAGACGGAATGCATGTAGGGAGACTTCAGTGTATGGCATTGTCATAAACAGAAGTAAAATGATTCATCCATACATCGCCATGACTCTACAGGTGGGTACAGATAAAGTGGAAATGTGATATTTTTATTCACTATTCTAATCTGTTTTCAATCAATGGTTCAACCCAGAAGAAAAGAGAAACACCAGAAACTGCTGCCCAATAATGAAACCAAATTGTGACTAGTTCTAAAATTATGGTTATTATGTTAATTATGATCCAAATCAGGATAATGAGCATTTGAAAGTTTAAAGGAATTGTCACTTTCAGGTGTTGATTAGCTTAGCATAGCATAACGACTGGACGCAGGGGGAAAAGCAGACATTTTGTGTTGTCATGGCAGGAAAAGCACAGGTGAGCACAAATGAGTTAACATGCTGGTATTTCTCTCTGGGTGTAGAGACTTCCTGGAGTCTTGTTAACCCTGATGAGGCCCCAACCCACATAGCTGCCGAGACACTGAGCAGCACTGACAAACAATAGCACAGTCTCTGACGTTCTTTCCTAACCAAAGGAACCCACACAAATAATATACCAAAGAAAGGTCAAAAAGCAGCAGGACAGTAGAAAGTGCTATGATGGGCTAGCAAGCAAAAATAGTTGAGAGCAAAATCCAACAAAGGACAAAGAAAAACAATTCAAACATTTCAGTGATTTCTAATAATTTCAGAACAGTCAAATGAAACCACAATAAATGGATTTTGGTGCTTTATTCAGGTAATTTCTCTGTTCAGTGAGAAACCCATTTATCAGAAATCTTGTGAGTAAAAAACATTAATTCATCGTGTTAAAATCCTTTATTAGGCAGGATTAAATGTTTTGATGATCAATTCCTCTGCTGCTAACTACGTCTTCCAGAATAGAAACAACAACCTGAAAAACACACACACACACACACACACACACACACACACAGAGACACACAGAGAGAGAGAGAGAGAGAGAGAGAGAGAGAGAGAGAGAGAGTCAGAGTCAGAGGACACTTACAGCCAGGTAACATTTGGAGAGAGCAGAGGAACATCCAGCAGGTTGACCTCCACACACTCGACGTCTGTCTGTATGCAGTCACAACTCTCTGGATACTCCTGCAAAGCTGCACACACACAAACACTATAAAATAGCATTCACAAATTTGAATTATAGAGGCTTATGCTTAAAAAATTAACAGGAGTGGCCCTGTGGGACACAACAAGATAACTTTCATTTAAAAAATGCCTATCACAATTTACTAAAGCCCAAAGTGATTCCACTTACGATAAGCCTCACATCTGAGAAGCTGAAGCCAGCGAATGTTTGTGAATACCAAACATTTAGTAAGCCAAATCCGTTTTGGGACTGGTACTGACCATGTTACATAAGTGCATTGGGCATCGTAAGCGATCCACATTACATAAAGGTTATTTATAGTTTTTTTTTCAATTGCTAACCTGCGTTGGTCAAAACCATACACGTCACATTGTCAAAACTCTTCACACAGTCAGCGCAACAGAAGTGTATGTGGACCAAACTGTGAATAATTGCGGACCAAACTGTGAATAATTTTTCATTGCTTTCACACAAAATGCAATGACCCCTTTCTTCAAAATTCATGAACTCTTTTCTCATTACTACTTCACCACCTGCAAAACACTATATCTGCAGCACATTTTTCAAATGCTAACACACTGTGTCCAAAACTGTTAAAAACACATTCAAAACAGATTGATGGTAAATGTACTGCATTTCTGCAGTGACCAGATTGAAATAAGTAGAAAATCTTAGAAGGCAGGCAATTTCACTTTTGGAAATGTGAATTTGGTCAGTGCAACGACAATTGCCAGAGTTCTGGAGAAACATAAAATAAGGACGAAGCAGTTGTACACTGTACCATTTGAGAGAAACTGTGAACGTGTGAAAGAACTCAGTTATCAATAAGTCCAGGTAAGATGTCTGTTCAATAATCAGTCAGGGAACATACACAGTGATGCATAATGTGAAGTCCTGTAAAACTGTGTATTTACTGTATTTTAGAGAGTAATGGAGCTGACACCGTCCTGATGGACCCGCTCCAGAACCCCTGGGAGCAGAGTAACTGGGGGGAAAGCATACAGACGCTGCCTCGGCCACGTCTGCACTATGGCATCCAGCCCTAGCGGGGCTGGGGGCGAGAGGGAGAACCACAGTGGACAGTGCATAGTCTCTTGAGACGCAAACAAGTCCACGTCTATAGGGCCGTACCTTTCGCACAATAACTCCACCACCTCGGGGTGGAGTTTCCATTCCCCGGGCCTCAGCCCCTGTCTCGACAGCAGGTCTGCTCCCTGATTCTGGGTCCCAGGGATATACATCTTTCTGAGAGACAGCAGTCTCTGCTGGGACCACAGGAGGATCTGATGCGGCAGTTTGCATAACAGGCGCGAGCGCAGACCCCCCTGGTAATTCAAATAGGCCACCACTGCCGTATTGTCGGTTCTGACAAGGAAGTGGCGACCGCGGAGAGCGGGCAGAAAACTCCTCAGAGCTCTGAATACTGCCAACATTTCCAGGCAATTTATGTGCCAAGAGAAATGATGCTCCTGCCAGGAGCCTCTTGCAAAGCGGCCGTCCATGACCGCGCCCCACCCCGTGAGTGAGGCGTCAAAACAATTGTCTGGCGACATGACGCTCCCAACACGGGACCCTGGGACAGGAACCAAGGTTTCCTCCATACTGACAGGGAACGAAGGCACCTGCTCGTAACCCGTATCAGACGGAACGGATTTCCCCTCCGGGAGAATCCCTTGGATTTTAACCACCACTGCAGGGCTCTCATGTGCAGCAGGCCAGAAGGTATTATGCTGGATTCTGCTGCCATGAGACCCAACACCCTCTGAAAGTGTTTCACTGTGATGGTGCGGCCTAGCTTCACTCTGGTCACTGTGGTCAAAATGGACTCGACGCGTGCAGGAGACAGGCGGGCCCGCATCGTCGTTGAGTCCCACACCACCCCTAGGAACGTAGTCCGTTGGGCGGGCGTCAACACGCTCTTCTTCGCGTTGAGCCGTAGCCCCAAATGCTGAAGGTGGGCAAGGACGACATCTCGATGCTGAACCGCTAACTCTCGAGACTGAGCCAGAATGAGCCAGTCGTCGATGTAGTTCAGTATGCGGATGCCCTGGAGCCTCATTGGGGCAAGAGCTGCATCCATGCATTTGGTGAACGTGCGAGGGGAGAGTGCTAGGCCAAACGGAAGAACCCGATACTGGTACGCCGCACCCCCGAAGGCGAACCTCAGGAACTTCCTGTGAGAGGGACGGATGGAGATGTGGAAATATGCGTCTCGCAGGTCTTTTGTGACAAACCAATCCTTGGATTGGATGTGACTGACGATGGCGGGGGTGGCGAGCATATTGAACCTGAATCTCCTCAGAGATTGGTTCAGGGACCGCAGATCTAAAATCGGATGCAACCCTCCGTCCTTTTTGGGAACAATGAAGTCCCGGCTATAGTACCTGGACACCCTGACTGGCGGGGAAATAAGTTCTATGGCCCCCTTTTCCAGCAGAGAGCGAACTTCTTGTCCCAACACCTGGCTCTGCTCCGAGTGCACTGCAGTCCAGACCACCCCGTTGAATCTGGGGGGGCGGACCCAGAACTGTAGCCTGTAGCCATCCACGCAGGACCCACGGGGAAATGTTCGCAAGGCTCCGCCACGCTTCTGCGAAATCCGCCAAGGGAACCAGCCCCTCAGGAGAAAGGTAGCTCGCTAATGCCTCCTCAACCCGAGGCATCGCTCCGTAGCCGCAATGCTTAATCTCTGTCACATTGTAATCCAGCAGAGGGGAAGTAGTCAGCCGTGCAGAGAAGGGTTTATTCCATGATTTACACAACTCATTGTGCAAATCAGGAAAGAATTCACCGCCTGTGGCCAATCAATATTCAACTTGTCACCACCTCCAATAGTTCATCATAGCTGGGCGCAGACTGATGACGTCGGCCCGGCTCCTGGAATGCTTAGCATCATGGAGTCTAACTCCTCAGAATCAGACTGTGCGAGCCTCTCCAGACTCATACCTCGGGCGGGAGAAGCTGAGAAACGGGCTCCCGAACGGGGAAGAGGGGAGGCGGAGTCAGCAGACGAGGACGGGGAAAAGGCCTCAGCCGTCCTGACGCCCTCGGAGATATCGCGCTTTCCCCATGACCGCAGCCACCGCGACGCCTCAGCGACCGCGGGGCCTGAGCCACGGGGAAACCGCATCCGACCGTCTTCCGAAAAGAGAGCTGCACGAGACCTCAGCACCCTCAGGGACAGGGCCTTGCAATGGCCGCAGGCAGCCCCCTCGAGGTCTGTCTGGGCGTGCGACATCCCCAGACAGGAAACACACATCTCATCAGTATCCCCAGCCGTGATGTAGCGGGGCATGGAAAAAACACATTGTCGGAAATGATTACCAGACATGGTCTCTTCTGCTTCGTAATGACTTCCAGGTAAGACAACAATTTTCTTGGTAGTGGAGCTTTCAAACATACTCAGAGTGCCTGCTGAATAGAAAAAAGCTGTCCTGTGTGCCTGCGTGCTTATATACGCCTCCAGTTACGCGGCCACACGCTACCGTTCTAGCAACACCAATAGGACTGGAGTAGTTTCATTCATGATTCAGCCCTGCCACGCCCAGAGGCGTTCCCATAGTGTCGTCACCGATGCAGTTTGAGATCCCTCGAAGGGGAACTGCACATACATTCATATTTGTGGATGAAGCTGGATTCAATCTGGCAAAAACACGTCGCAGGGGAAGAAATGTGATTGGACAGAGAGAAACCAGGGATGTCCCAGGGCAGAGAGGAGCTAACATCACAATGTGTGCAGCACTGTCCAATGATGGTTTGCTGTTACACAAACCACTCATTGGCCCCTACAACACGGAGAGGCTCATGTCTTTCCTGGATGACCTGCATAATCGCCTTGTGCCAGTGGAGGAGAGAGGAGCAAGAAACTCCCCTATCTTTGTTGTTGTGTGGGATACAGTTTTTTTCAATTGCTAACCTGTACTGGTCAAAACTGAAGTGACATTGTCAAAACTCTTCACACAGTCAGCGAAACAGAAGTGTACGTGGACCAAACTGTGAATCATTTTTCATTGCTTTCACACAAAATGCATTCAATGACCACTTTCTCCAAAATCCATGAACTCTTTTTCCATTACTACTTCACCACCTGCAAAACACTGTATATCTGCAGCACATTTTTCAAATACTAACACACTGTGTCCAAAACTGTTTGCAAATTTCCTGCATATTTTGATATATGTGGAAAATCTTTGCAGAACATTTACATCCATTTCATGTTTTAGAGAAATATGTGTAATGTTTTGAATGTGGTTTTACTGTAAAACTGCAAGCTGAATATAAAGCAGGAAATGTGCTTATATTTTAGCAGAATTGGTTCAAGGGGATGGTACATCAATTACAGACTGTGGTCATTGGGTCGCAGGTACCAGTGTTAACTATGTAAACAACTGGAAAAAAGTGTATTGCAGCACTGAAATGTCAGGAACTTCTTTTTTTTCACAAGTAAATTACTGAATGCATTTCTGATTCATTCTTGTAACATATACTATAGTACAGTCAATAAAGTGACATATGTTACAGGTTTCTTCCATTTTTTCGCTTTGGTACAAAACTATTTGTATTGGTAAACTATGGCTAAACTTTTGATGACAATGATTGAAAATGCACAAGGCTGTACTTTTTTTTGTATGGCATAGATCAATTTCAACAGTACAGAGTTACAGTAAACATTGCAAGAGATTGGACAGGATTCACAGTTACACTTTTACTGTATGCACCGTAATTTGTCATGTCATTGTGATGCAGAAAATAAAAAAACAAGACTATTTTACAGCACTGCATAGCACAACAGAAACAATTACAAAATAAGAAATGGAAACATAAAAACACCCCCTCAGGTTGATGTTTCTGTCTATTGGGCCACAGATTCTTATTCACAGCACAACAGATCAGAACTTCATCAGTTTACTGTAGGACACATTTACAAAACAAGTCTAATAGACATATGTAGGAAAATGCAGATTATGACCTTTTCAACCATGTAGTGACTTACGCAATGAACTTATGTCTATATGTTTTGGGGGGGTAAGACTTCTCAACAAAGAACCAGTATAATTTAACACATTGTGATCAACATGACATACAGTAAGCAATTGATACTGTAGGAAACAACAGAGAAACACATAATAATTTGCATAAATGTGTCAAATTTCTCAAAAGACTGAGAAATTGCTTTTGCATATGATGTGCACAAGCGATTACATGATGTGGAGGTTGAACAAGTAGAATTTCAATTCTGATCTGAGAAATGTATATCAGTGACTGAAAACAACTGTATTCTATAATGAAATACTGATTTATATGAAAATATCAGTCACATTTCAAGGATAAAAGATCTACAAATGTAAGTAATGATTCCTGTTGTTAGTGTTTTGTAGATCAGTGTGTTATGAGTGACAATGTATGCTTTCTGAGTGGGTATTGTTGCCAGTGTTTTGGCTGAACGAGTTTATTTTGAGGCTTATATGAAGTGTTTTGGTGGTTTGAGTGACTTTAGGAGGTAAGATTACAGTTTTTTTCGATTGCTAAATGACAGTGAGAACAACTGGAGCTACTGTACATGTGCAAAACTCTAACTACAGTCTGCCCAGCAGCAGTTCATGTGGACCAAACTCTAGTTCGTTTTTCATTGCTTGAACACAATTTTCAAAACTCTACACACTTATCCCATGACCTTAACCACAACCTGCACAACACTGTGGATTTAAAGCACTTTGTTCAAATGCTAACACACTGCTGTCAAAACTGTGAACCACACATTCAAAACATAATCGATTTCAGCCTTGTGCCTTTCAAACACTGCTAATTGCAATTTCAGCTGAAAGGCTAAGCAGGTGTTTTGTTTTGGACTTGTTAGTGAACACACACACACACACACACACACACACACACACACATATATATACATATATATATATACATGTATATATGAGAGAGAGAGACTAATTTTGGAAATGGAACAAGGAAGACAGGTTCGTGGAGGGAGACAAAGAGCTGTTATTTCAGATGGGGGGGGGTTGTTTCAATTTACAGTAAAATTGTTTACAATACTATCCATAGACATAGAACAAATAAAGGATATTGAAACAAATTGCCTCATTTCTGATGCATTCTTGTTACAAATACTTTAGTACCGTCAAAGTGAAAATATGTTATTGTTGTTGTATAATGAAAACCTAATTTATTTGCTCACGCTCCAAAGATAAGAGAAGATAGTTCTTCATTTATGTAATGCTCCCTGTTTTTAGTGTTTTGTAGGTCAGTGTGTTATGAGTGAGACTGTATGCTTTCTAAATGAGAATTGTTGCCAGTGTTTTGGTTGAACGAGATTATTTTGAGACTTGTACGAAGTTTTGGTGGTTTGAGTGACTTTTGGAAGTCAGATTAACTGTTTGGCTAAGATGCATGTTGGTAATGCAGACTGTGTGAAGAGTTTTGAAAAAGCCGCTTCAGTTGTGACCATTGCATCTTAGCAATTGAAAAAAACTGTATCAGTATCTTTATATAATTCAGTGTTTCTGCTATCAGTTATTTTAATTAAGCCATGGCAGCCTACCGACTCATTGCAATTTTTTGTGCCACGTCACCTTAAATAAAATTAATTCCAATGAGTTATGTGCACTGTTTTTTCATTCGGGACAAAGAGAGCACTGGTATAATGGTATTAGTAAAGGCAAAGACCCTGTGTTGAGGTATCAGACTCTATATTGGGTGAGAAAACATAGTAGTGGTGCATCCTTACTAAAATTGGTGTTTATAATTGTTTAGTCAGTCATCTCTGAGCTCTGGCAGCGGCTTGTTATTAATGTATTGTAACTTATCCTGCAACAGGTGTAAAAAGACTGGGAAGGAGACCGAATAACGTTCGAATTTTATCTCTTGTCACAACAAGTTGGTGTGTACATACACATTGCTAAACACTTACAAAAACATTAGGTAACAGTCCTCATCAAATAAATGTCTAATCTGCAGACACAGGCTAAAAGTAAATACATTTACCTGACGCTTTTATCCAAACCAACTTACAATTGCTATACATGTCAGAGGTTGCACGCCTCGGGAGCAACTAGGGGTTAAGTGTCTTGCTCAGGGACACATGGTGGATGTCTCACAGAGAGAATCGAACCCAGGTCTCCCACACCAAAGCTAAGCATCTTATCTATGCGCCATCACCACCCCTCTAAATACTTACGGTACACACATTCAAGCATATAGACACAACTACTGTATACACACATACTTACAGCACTCATTCAGGAGGTACTGGTCCAAAGGATTGGCATTCTGTAGTGTCTGACCGAATAAGTCCGCCCATCCGATGTTGTCCCCTGCAAGCCCAAACAAAGGAACAATCGTTATTTTTATCTGTGCAGACAGAGAAAACAACAGTCAGCTGGATGGTGTTCGTTTCATTGGAAAAAGCAATTGGCTATGTTATCTTGATAAATTATCTTCATTTATTCTCTTTTGTTAAATAACTACAGTGTTGGGGGCTGTGTCTTTGCAATGTCGATGACCTTCTCAAGAGTTTGGACAGGGACAACTTTAAATTAAGAGTCAGATGTGCTTTACATGAGACTGCAGAATTGAAACTGAAAACACTGTTGTCCTGGAAGCCTTGCTAAGAGTTTCATACAGCTATTTTGAAAAAAGATGTCAGTTCAGCTACTCTTGAAGAGATTTGACAGGCTACAACATGGTTGGTTCAAATATAAATATTTGTTGAATGTAAGAATCTAATCGTCATTTTACGTAGATCATTTCTATGAAAACACAAGTTGGCTCCAGGCTATTGGTATGTCTACTGCATAACATTAGCAACACAAATATTTTAAACTTATAAAAATGTCTCAAAGCAAATATTTTACGACAGTTAGGCAACACCTTGCATTGTGAATGCTGTAGCCGTTGCTTAATGTCAGACAGATTTTGCATCAGCAGCACAAAGCAGAGCCACTTGCATATGTCAGATATTTTTTCTCTGAGAGGAAGCGAGTAAATTCTTCAACCACTGATTACAGTCTACTGATTACAGTCAGTACCATTCAATTTGACATTCATTGAACATTCATGTTCAACATTTACCTTAACAGGATAACTGTGAAGATATTGTCCTGCATACTTTGGAAGAGCCTGCCCTTGTCAGGCAAGCTTGCTTTCCCCAAATTCCTGTTATTACAGTAATGTTGAACAACATGGCACTGAGGGCAGGGTGCCTGATAAGGGGCATGAGAATGAGGAAAAGTAATACAGCAGAGAATGGATTTCTTGTTATTGGCAGGAAAGCACCACTAGCCAGACTGAGATTAATTTGTATTTCTTTAATGGGCGTAGTTTTTCAATGAAATGTATCACAATCTTTTATTGCCTATATGTGAAGGTGTTGTAACTTCACATAAAAATTAACCTTTTGCCGGTTTCCTATGACAGCATGTATGCTGCTTCCTATGTGAAGAAATCAGGTCTGACTTTTCAAGAAATCCATTGGCTTACTTAGGCTGTGATGTTCACGTGCACTCTCAAGCTCCTTGCCTACTGATTCTGAACTTCCAATAACTACATGATTTCCTCTCAGCAGCTTGTAGAGGACCACTCTTTACCAATAGTGCATAGCTTCTCTTCCGGTTGATCACCTGGGAGAGTCTCATACATTTGCTGGGAAACACGGAGGCCACATGTCGTTGAGCTGAGACTCTGCTTGCAGGAACAACTTGAGACCATATTTTAGGCAACAATTTTATTTTTAACTATCACCCTTTGCCTGGCAGTGTTTAATGAGGATTTTTACATATGCTGCCATTGCCATAATGATCTTAGAGATGTAGAACATTTGTAATTTTGGTGAAATGCTGTTTGAAAGATTTGCTAGATCACTTGTATGATCAAAGTTTGTCTATTTTACTGTGATTGCAAATCTGATCTGTGTAACCACTGACAATTGGCACAAAATTAATTGTGTACCAGAGGGAAGCTATGTATTGAGTTTTTTAGGGGAAAAATGATCTACACTCATCGTGTGAAATTTTTAGGTAGTGTAATTATTTTTGCTGTCAGTATTTCTCGGTAACCCTAAATGTTTTCTGAGGCCTCCTTGTTTATATAGCACCACAGTTCTTGTTTCTACACACATGCACTTACCACAGCGCCGCTCATCTGCTCCATTGGGACAGTCTTTGTGTCCATTACACTGCAAAGCCTGTGGGAGGCACTCACTCATGTTCCCACATGGAAACTGGCCGAGGGGGCATCCAGACTCGACCCCCGCTCGGCTGGCCAGCAGCGCTGAGGGAGAGACACAGGAACAAGAGACCATTCTTAAATTCAGCACCAAATTTCAGTAGTCAGTTTTTTCTTGTTAGAAATGTTATACACAATATAGATGAAAGTGTGACCCGGCAACAAGCCTGTCACATTTAAGGACAAGTGTGATATTTTGTAAGTGAAACCAGGCAGCTTTAATGTGAATAATATTTTCAAATGAATGGATACTTAAACCAGGATTAAATAAATTCATATATATGTATATATGTATAAAATGAATAGCATGAAGTCATGAGAGATTTGAAATCTCGGAATCTCTGTTTCCTCTGTAAAAAAATTTTGCCATGAAAATTGTAAATTGGTAAATTGAAAAGTGGTGGGGACATAAGGGCTCAGATTAGGGGTGTGATGATACACTTGGGTCACAAGACGTGACGATGCACAGGAACAAGACAAGAATATTTTGAAGAAATATTTGATGCTGAAATATGAGCATCTGTATATAATTTCTGGGGATCCTCAAGATTTTGAGCATTACACTCGTCATTTCCTGCATTTTCTGCCAAAATATGTGGTGGAAATGTGTTTTTTTATATGAAGGGAAACCATATTTTTATAGCAATTTCATTTGTTAGTTAAGATTTCTTGGTGCAAGCTAATTTTCAGAACACTTTTAACAAATGCTTACAAAAAGTGATGGGGACAAAATCAGCCATTTCAAAATGTGGTGGGGACATGTCCCCAGCGTCCCCAGTGTAAATGACACCTATGGTTCTGGCTCACTGGTTCACTGTCATATAACGGCTTTTACTGGGAAACCTGAATGGACCAGAGCCATTGTTAATATAAGTAATAACAACTGTGCTTTTCCTACTACAGAAGTCAACATATCTGCCTGTGAAAAGGTAACATAAGAATGGGCCTAGCATGGATCTCTGTGACACATATCATCTAACATACACTTATGAAAACAAAGTGAGATCTGTGATAGGCATGAAACAAAAAAAGAGCTGTGCCGCTGATTTCAGTTTACAAAGATTCTCTAGGTGATCAAAAAGAGCATTAGCGCTGCAACTCAAGAATAATTTCACTAGCCAACAGTGGTGGTACTCAGATATTTAAAGTAAACTAGGAGTGCCACAATGCAGAAATACTGTTTACATCTAAATATTGTTTACATCATAAAAATGCTGTGATGCTTGGTGTGTTCTGGTTTTGTCTGTCTGCCAGTGTCCTCTCCCACTCTTTCCCTCTCAAACAGTGGATGTGCGTGGTAACCTCAGGCTCTCCTTTGCCAGCCTCACTAACTGTGATTCTTCGTCTTCAGACTCACCAGCAACCAGATTTCCACCTCTGCCAGCCAGCTCACTCAGCCACAATTTCCTCTGAATCTCACTTCAAAACATGAGCCACACTCTCCAGTCAGCCAAACCCACCAGCTTCTTATGTCACAACTCACTTTGGATTATGTGTAAGCATTGCTTTAATGCTGAAGCTGGCCAAGGTGGGGCTAATTGCAAATGGGTTAGAATGGGCCAGAATGGGTCAGCTGCAGCTCTGGACTGCAGCTTTCAAGCAGATCTAGAGATTAGGAGTCAGTGGTACTCCCCCCACACAGCAGAGAGCCTCGCCTCACACAGGCACCACACAGAAACTTTTAAAAAGGACCATGATGAATGTGCTTCTGGCGACTGTCAAAACTCCAGCGGATTCTGTGTTTCCAGTGCGGACATAGAGAGTCTGACAGCAGCTGCTCGTGGCTGGCTACCTCTGACTAAATAGTAAGTAGTACAATTAGGTATACTTTCCACCACTGCTATAAATGAATATTGATTAGGATTTGTATTGGAAAATACAGCAGATTCAAAAACATTTATTATCTGTGAGTCGGTAACATGAAACAACATAATGCTTATTTTACATGCACATGTATATAAACATATTTCATCTGCTACAAATTAATTAAAAAATTAAAAACTTCATCTACTTGAGTCCCGCAGCCTGTATCTCCCAACCAGATGAAAAAACAAGTGGTTTAATTCATTAAGCTTGTCTTTAAGATATATCTAACAAACTTAAATGAAAAGACTTTACTTTTACTCTTCACTTTTACCCCACTGCTGCTTTAACCTTTGTGCCACCATTTAGCCTGTATGCCATATTTTGATGCACACAAAACATGTTGACTAGTGTGACATAACAGGGAATTCATTTAGCTCAGTCATTAGTTTAAATAACGTTTTCACTAGACCTTTGAAATTAAACACTTATTACTGCTTAATGATTTATGTCTAATACATGAGTCAGACTCTTTAGCTGTAAAGACTTATTTTGGCTGTTGATTTTCTGCACATGTTGTGTTTCTGGCCTGAAAAACAAGCCAGAAACAATTCTCTCATTATTGCTTGCCAGCTAACACAAAGGCCCTACTCACATCTGCAAGGGACACATGCAACATTACTCCCTTCCTAATGACACGTAAACGTAAACAGCACAATACACAATAGTGTCTCATCAATTTATCCAAAGTTTGGCTGCAATCAACACAAGTGTGTCACCACTAATGACTGCATTTGAATTTTTTGTATTTTGCATTTATTTTATGTATCAGTTTTTATCAACATCCATCCATCACATTGATGGATATAATGTATTTTGTTATTGTATGTAGTGTATTTGTTGTTTAGTGGTTGTTTTGTGTCCTTTCTTTTGTTTTGTCTACCCACCCAGAGACAGCAGATGCAAATTAGCTGCTAGCTAACTCTGGTGCAATTATTTTAATTGTGCGCTGTCTCTGTCAAAAATAAACAGCATAACAACATAAAAATGACTGGGCTGTATATTTTCAAATAATGTCACCATAAATTTTCCGGAAAATTTTAGTTGCAGAAATTGAAGAGGAACAGGCATGCCATTTTTAAAGGGTGTTGGATCCAGTTGGTTGATATTGTTCATAATTAGGAATTTGTTTGTATAGTATGACCTGGATGTTTCTCTGGGATATGATTATTGTGACTTTAAGAAAAAATAGCTGATTTAGATTGTAATTCAGAGCATGTGATTTTATTTAATCTTATTTACAAGAATATGAAATCAAACACATCAACAGGAATGTGTCCCCTCTTTATATAGTCAGACACTAATTGGTCATGAGGAGCAGCTGGAAAGGCATGCAGAGGATCACTGCTGATTAAGTGATAAGTCACAGGGCTATGCTTGTGGAATAGACCCTTTTCACAGCGGACATTTTGGCTTACGAAAGCTGAAAAAGCAAATGAATAAGATTAATGACAGCTGTATTCCTTTGGCCATTGGCAAGGTTATTATTTACTCCTGTGCTTGTCGTGCTTTGACAAGTCATTTGTCTGCTGTGAAAGGGTCTGTAGCTAAGGCAGAAAAAACAACTGCCAGAAAATACAGAAACATTATGGGAAAAGAAGAACTGAGAGCAGAGGAAGAGGCAAAGGATGGAAAAGCTACAGCCATGACGAGTACAATGTATAAGAACCAGCCACAAAGTTACAGCTGCATTAAAAGATTTTTTTAAGTGTTTCAGCAACCTTGAGGTTGGGAAGGAAACTTGCTACCCAATACAGATGTTGGGAAGGAAACTTGCTACCCAATACAGAACTGAGTTTGGTGGCCTCAGCAGGCAATCACTTTGAAGCTTTTCATGAAATCCAAATTTATGTATTAAACTCAGCTTTGATCCCAGTTTTGCATATTGTAATTGTACAAAATACTCATGGCATATATGTAATAATACAAAACTTGTTACTTTTTAAAAACTATATACTTTTTCAAATAGTTTAATGAGTGAGGAATGTTTTTCACGTGTCAAGTTTGGTTAAATATTGTGTTTCTTTGAGTAACTTTCCCCCCCTTCAGGCGCACGGGGAAAAAGGTGGGCTTTGCCTCCCCCAAATACAGCAGGGGGTAACGGATCAGGCTGCGTAGATAAACAAGTTGTTCAACTTCAAAATACATTTTTAAATTCACTGAGACAGCACATAACAGGACTAAGAGCGCTCTTGTTCCTTCAAGTAATTTTCAAACTCACCATCATGTGAGGAGTCTGTGAGGTAAAAATTACTCTTTTTGTTTTTGTTATGTTTACAATGTTTATAGTTTCGATAAATCTTATGAGCTTGTTGCTGTCATCTCTTCCCCATTTCTCTCTTCTACAATAAGTGAAACAGCGCCCCTCTAAATGCGATGCGTTGGATGTGTGGTGAAACACTATATTGCACCACCATAGACTGGCCTGCAGTCTGAATATGCGGGGAGGCCAGGCAGAGTTGGCATCCCTTCCTGAAAAAAAATTAAATGATTAACCAGTCAGATGAGGCCACTGTCACGCAACTGCCTAACTGTGATAAGTCAGGATGATGGCAAGGGAAGCCAGCCGCTGTCTGGCTTCACGCCAATCAAATCACAGCTTGCTATCAACGTCATTCAGATGAAATAAGGGGCGCTGTTAGCTACTTTAGCTGGTGCAGTTACGGAGGGTAGATATTTGAAGTTTTTAGTTATAAACAGTTTTACTAAACTACTACTACAGCAGCAATTTAAGATTAAATCTGATGGAAGACCAATGTGAAAACTGGAGCTGGAAAAAGGTGTTTTGGACATTCAGTAAAGAAAACTATATCCTGAACACAAAGTCCTCATGACATTTCAAAAGGCTACTGTTAGTTAGCCAAAGCAAGCCTCTGAAGTTGCAACATACCCTGTATATGTAATTCAAACACTTGGGACTTGTGTATTTTAATCAACCTCCTTCCTCAGCGACTCCCTGTCATTCTTGTACACTTTTGTTTCATACTTTCCACATTCTAACGTATATTAGAATAACACAGCTGGAGTACCAGATAACTGTCTACACTGTCATGGCATAGCGAGCACAGTCATATGGCATCCACAGTATAACCTATGGGCATATAGATGTGTTGAGAGTTTGACCTGAGATGTGGCTGCAGGACATCAGCTGTAAAAAGAGTCGTATGTATGAAAACAGAAAGATAGGGAAACTTCACTGGGCACTGAGGCACTGTAGAACAAAGAAACAGCGTGGTGTTTGGTCAGTCTGAAATGTTTCCCTGAAATCTGAAACCAACAAAAGATACACCGGTTTTAAAACATTCCAATGGTATAGAGAAACCAAGAGTCACATTTTTAGTTGAAGTAATAGATTTTTTTATGAGCTATGTTTATGAGCTAATTATTCATTAATTTTTTAAATACCGATTTATTCCATTCATGCTGGTGTGACCCCTCAAAATGAAACAAGTCTTAAGTGAACTGATCAGTGTGCACACCTACACACATACTTTTCGAATTAAATGAACACATTTTGCTGTTTGTCAACATTCAGGTTGCATCTAACGCCAGCTGCATCATTTGACTCCTGGTCTCCAAAACCAAATAGCTTCAAAGTTCTGTTCAGGTTAAATTCCATTAAATCTTTTATGAAACTTCGGACACTAAATAATTGAAGCCATGCTGTATCAGAAAATATGACTTTACAACTTAATTTGACTCTGTGCATTTGCTTCTCTCTGTCGCCATACTTTGTAACTGTTTTTGAAAGTACAATGTGATCTGTGAAGAAAAACTTTCTTTCTTTTGGCTCTGTTTAAACACCGACTGCGAAGTTCAAGTGTTGACATTTAGTTTGAACAACAGGGCTGAAATTTCTAAAAACTGAGAATCAGCACTTTACCCCCTATAGTCAATGTTTTATTTTCTATGCTGGAGAACAGAACCAGAACAACAGAAAATGTTGGAGCATTTGTTAGTGATTGTGAGAGGTGTCGGCAAGAAGCACCAATGCGTTGTGTTGGGCAAGTGCTTTCATTAACTGGTCTCACAGTGGCCAAAGCATCATATGAGACCTCTGCCAACACAGTCTCATTGAAATATGGGTTGCGTTTGGGTGCTCATCACAACCATAAGACTGTATAAAACATGGATGTCACCGATAGGTTTCTGAAGAGCCGTTGTGAAGCTCAGTGTGCTCCAGCCATCAATATGTTACCAGTGCCTGACTGGCTGGCCTGATTGCTGAATCATCTAGCAGCGAGCCACCTGAGAGGGCACCCACCTGCGACTCAAAGCATTCCACCCTCATTCATGCATATCTTTAGACCTTAATATAATTTAAATAGGGGAGATATATAAAAATTCACCCCTCCTACAGTTGTCTTCAGGAAAATTAGCTATAAAGACCAAAACCATTTTTGTACCAGGCTGTAAACATGTTTATTTCTGCTATACAGTTGAGAATTTTAATTCCCAGAGGTTGCGGCTTCATTAACAACTGTATCTATTCAGTTACCAATGGCCCACATATCAGCTGATAATATACCAAAATCAAAATCTTGAAAACTGGTTTTGTTTATAAATTTTGCTGTTTGTCTCTATGGACTCTGTAACACTATAGTCCCCATAATACACTGCCGCTTTAAACTGTTTGTTGAAAAATGAAATTGCAAGTCAAGTATTAACTTAATTAAATAATTTCCTTTGCTATTACGCTGTAAAGATGACAGCAATCACATCAAAACCCATTTGTCACTGCACTATAATATACAGCCCAATATACTGAATCACGTTGGAGACTATCCGTCTCCAGTATAACAATAAATTTCAATCAATTTCTTGATGGTTGACTGAATTTCTGATGCTTGCTCCACGATCCCTGCTGCACTGGAATCTCTGCTGTCTCGACACTAGAAATTTCCTGCAGGTGAGCCAAGTGCCCTGTCTCTCTAATGACGGAAAAGACTTATTCTGACAAATGTCGGCAATTGTCTTGTGGTATCTGTTGATATATGACATGGATTACACAGTCTGAATGCATTATCTCAAATGTTCGTTGAAATGATTAAGCTGGATATCTGTGGGACGCTTCCTTATTGCCATTCCTACCCAAGTCCCAGAAAATGTCATAGCCTCTGTGACTCTGATCGCTCTGTGACTGATTCATGTTAATTGCATAAATTCCACAACATCTCTGACGCTTAAAAATGTCCCCAGTCACCCTGATGGAAGATTTGACTCATTGTGAATAGCTCGTCAGATGGAGTCCTTTCTTTAAACAAGTTGAAAAAGCGTCCCTGACTGAGGACATTAAATAGAATGAATTGATACACGTCGTGTTGCTTTTTGTTCATTATTAAGTTTTGTCACTTTTTGTTTTTATCTCATTTATATTTTTGTCTTTTTGTGATTTGTTTGCAGTTTCACTTTTTAAATTATAATTTTACATTTTTAGTCTCATCAAATATGAATGATGATTGAATTGAAAAGCAATAAACAAAATATCAAACAGAACCAAATAAAAGACCCGTGCTTTGTTTTTTTTGTTAACAGAGTTAATTCAACTAGCATCACATTGAAAAACAACTATAATCGTACAGCAGTTGGGAACAAAATAGCAACACATATGTGCTGTTTTTGTGTAACATCCACACAATTTGACACAACTGAGAGGGGATCTGAGTCACAAACTGGGAGGTGGAGGAAGTGTAAGTGGCCATGAATGATTTAAGAACATGATCCAAAACAAAATGTGATGTTAACTTAGGCTAATGGAAAGAACTTAACAGCCAGTCCTTAGAGCATCTTTTAGTACAACCGACCTCTGAACGAGAAATTTGTAGGCAACCAAAATGTTAAAATTTACTTTCATTAACTGAAAACACATTGGGTCAAAGTTCTTAGATAAAAACAGTGACCACACCCAAAAACAAGTTCACAGCTAGTTAAATTAACACAGTGGATTTGGCTCGCCTCTGTTCTGATTGACTGGTCACCATGGTGGCAACTTGTCAATCACAAGGTAGCCAAGTCCTAAAGTATACCCTGCTTTATTGTGTATTTACTCTAAAAAGGATCATAATTTACAAAATTGCCATCATGCAGTAACGAAAAAGATTTAAAAAATAGTGATAGAGACCACAAATTCATTAGGAAAGTGTTTCTTAAGGTCATAAATCAAATGAGAAGTAGGGTCATTTTCTCATAGACTTCTATACAATCTGACTTCTTTTTGCAACTAGTAGAGCTGCTCCTGCTGGCCATTAGGAAAAAAATCACACACTTCAGCATTGGTTTCATTTTCAGGGGACAGGAAAACAAGTAAACAGAGCGGTCGGGAGGGGAATTATAGGTTTGGTTTTTAATTATAAATATGCATTTCAATTATGAATAAACAATATTTTCTGATATTTTTTATTGGGATGGGACGGGAGTCATTCTTCAGGGATTGGAACGCGACAGGAGTGAAAAATCACTTTTATGTCACCCTCTAATGTCACATTTATTAGGCTATTTATTCATTTGTACTTTATATTTACTAATGGACTATTGACTTGTACAATTCCCTGAATCTCATAGATAAGCTTACTTATTACACATATTTTTAATAGGCCTACTTAATTTAAACTTAAGCCAATATGTAATTAGCTCCTTAAAACATATTCTAAATGATTGTATATTGTTCATACAGAATTTAACAATGTCATGCTTTCCCATCTCCATCTGAGCAGAAGAGCAGGCAATTATCCAAGGAAAATGTATTTATGTCCAAAATAGTTACAAGCCTTACTGGTTACAAAATAGTTTTCCTGTCCCAGTTGAGGTTTTTAAAACCTGAAGAGCCCTGAGCTCACTGTGGAGTTAATACAGATTCATTAACACAGTTTAGAGTGTAACTAATGTTCTGCAGAACTGTCTCTTCTACTGTGGATGACAATGTTCTTATGCAAAACCAACCTGAACAATTGTGATTAAAAACAATTTAGTAATGAAAAATAGGGGAAACTACCTTTAACATTTAGGTAGGCTACAGCCTGTAATAATACTATTCATAAAACAGGAGACAGACAAAGAAAGGCAGCACACACAAAACACAAAAAAAAAAAAAATCAATTAGGCTTCTCATCAAATCCTTTCCTCTCCTTAGTTTTTTACCTCTTATCTCAGTATGAGTCAAGTGGATCAGCAAAACGATAACAGGTACGTCCATCCTGAGGCTCGGACGTTTTCCTGCGCTCATGTCGCTTCGGCTGTAATGCCTCGGGAACAAATTTACGGTTTCACCCGCGAAAACCTGCCAGTCCACAAAAAAATACAGCAGAAGTCCCAGTCAGTCCAATATAGAGTATGCCCGGCGCTTAAAACTGAGTGAAAAGGCGAACCAAGGGATCGGGAGAATCAGCTGAAGTAGCAACGTGGAAAGGTAAACCTGAGCTGGTGCGCAAAAACAACCACATCCTCTCCACACTGTCCTCTCCGGAGCTCTCTGAAGACTGTGCTGAAAGACACCGTGTACCCCCACCCCAGCGCCCGCGCACACACGCAACCACACGCACTGTCTCCATGCACGAAAACTTGCCCGGCCCCTTTTCATAAATTCATTCTTGGAGCATTCTACTTTAGTTTGCGCGCATTGAGTAGACCTGTGTGCCGCACACCTACAAAGGCTCAGTCACCCACTCACCTGTCTAGCCTACAGAAGTTCCTCGTCTTGCCTGGGGAAGCCTAAAGCTGAGTTTAGTGGAGATGACAGCAGCAGAGGGGAAGACAGTCACTAGGATTTATATCGGTTGCATTTCACAATGTTTTTAAATTTCACAGCTACTTGTTTTTCCTCCACAGTATAAGTACGTTTTTGTTTCAAATAAAAGGAGGACAGCTGATAAAGCAGAAATAGCATGGCGTTATTCCTCTAGGCCTATGAGTTTATTGTTGTGTTATTAGCCTGCAGGCAGCTGATGGTAGCCCAGCTTAGCTTAAAGACAGGAAGCAGGAGTAAACAGCTATTTTAACAGCTTAAATTAAAAGACTAGAAACACAGGGAAACAGCTAGACTGGATTTCTCCAGAGATTGCACCTACCATCACCCCTACACTGAAGTGGAAAAATGACTTACTGAAGCTTTTTCAAGGTCAGCAAAACCAAGGAGCTGATGTTGATTTAAAAAAAAAGAAGAAAAACTCCTGGAGCTGAGTTGGAGCAGGTGAACAGTTTTAGGTTCCTGGGAATCAACATCACAGAGAATATGACACAGTCATCTCACATCTCCACGATGGTGAAGAAAGCCCAGAAACGTCTGTATTTCTTTAGGAAACTTAAGAAGGCTAATATCCTGTACCAAGTTCTTGTCAACTTTTACAGAGGAGCAATAGAAAGTGTCCTGACTGGAAACATCACCAACTTGAATGGGATGTGCACGGCCCAGGACAGGAGGACTCTGCAGAGGGTGAATAAAACTGCTCATTGATCTTCAGAGCACGCTCAGAAGATAATGATATAATTGTTGTATACATTGTCTGCTTTGTGGCAGAAGGGAACTACAAACAACCGTGTTGTAATTGAACAATTAAAATACCTTGTACCTTGTACCTTTATGGGGGTTAGCTTGTTATGTGCTGAAGTCTTTTTGTCACCATGAAGTTGCCGGGCAACCAGTTGAGAGTCGAAGAAGTCATTGCATCTGGCCAAGAAATCACATAAACTCTGTAAACTTTGGAAAAATCTGCCAGAGTTGAGCTTTATAATTGGAAACATTTGCCCTTGTACCATTTATATCAGTGATTTTAATTCCAATGTTAAAGAAAGTTTCACCACTGTATTTGAATCAGTTTAACTGTCATTTCTCTATTGGATGGCATGATGTGCATTTTTCCCGTCCCACAGTAGAAGGTTTTGAATTATTCACAAGGCCATAAGAGAGAGAGAAAAATGATTTATTGATGTGTGAGCATGGGGCCATCCAAAGAAGCAGAAGGAAGGAGAGCCGGGAGGGAGTTCTGGTGCCAAGTTTTCTTGAACTCTCTGACAAAGTAAGACCTGATGCAGTTTGTCTTTCAGAAGCAGCATTGTAGTCAGTATAAACACTGAACATGTGTTTCAGGTATGCTCATTTCTTTGCTTGGAGGGCCCAGAGTGGTTGCTGGTTGTCAGGGGACCCAATCAAAATCTGAGTCAGATCTGAGCCAATAAGTTATACTTTTTCATGTCCAATCTATTACGCTTTAATATTGTATATGAAGGAATGTTTTAGCAATGTACCTTTAAATCCCCTCTACGTCTGGTTAGGTAGCCTCATCTAGGAATGGTTCACAAGTCTCTTTCTTTTTTTATTGATTTATTTAACACTGATGGTGCACATTAATAAAAAAAAAATTTATGTGATGATATGATGATATCATCAAGGACATTATTATACTACATTACATACATAAAACATGCAACGCCGAAGGATACAGTACACAGCACAAAAAGAAATAAAGTGCAGAATATTAATGTAAATAGAAATGTGTGCTAAACACAGTGACACACTCAGGCGGTAAATGAAACATGCAATACAAAAACTTACAATACATCAACATTAAAAGCTTCACATACATAAGAATTATAAATAACTGACAAACAAGTACAAAGGGATCCTGTCTTCTTTATTACTTTAATATTCCTCTTTAGATTAGATTTTACAGATCCTTAATATTTTTATATTTATATATATTTATGTTTCTACCTGCTGATGGACTGCTTTCAAAAGTAAGCTGCAAATAAAAAATGACCTCTCATGAATACGCCTGCCAGTCATTATTTGTGTAAAGGCTAAATATCTGGCCACAACCAAACACAGTTGTAGGAAAAAGTATATGAACACTTATTTTTAATTACCTGGATTTGATGTGATCTGGTCTCCATCTAAGTCAGAACAATAGACAAACACAGTCTACTTAAACTAACTCCACACAAACTTATATCTTTTCATGTTTTTATTGAACACCGTGTAAACATTCACAGTGCAGGGTGGGAAAAGTATTTGAACCCTTGGATTTAATAACAGGTTGATACTCTTTGGCAGCAATAGCCTCAACCAAACGTTTCCTGTAGTTGCAGATCAGACCTGAACAATGGTCAGGAGGAATTTTGGACCACCTCTTTAGAAATCTGTTTCAGTTCAGCAATTTTCTTTGGATGTCTGGTGTGAATCACTCTTTTGAGGTTGTGCCACAGCATCTAAATCAACCAGTCCAGAAGGTGTATTTTCTCCTGCTGAAGCCATTCTGTTGTTGATTTACTTCTGGGCTTTGTTGTTGTTGCATCACCCATCTCCCGTTGAGCTTCAACTGGCAGACAGATGGCCTTACATTCTCCTGCAAAATGTCTTGCTAAACTTTGGAATAAATTTTTCCGTCGATGATAGCAACCCCCTCCAGGCCCTGAGGCAGCAAAGGCCCCAAATCATGATGCCCCCTCCACCATACCTCACAGTTGGGATGAGGTTTTGGTGTAGGTGTGCTGTGTCTTTTTTCCTCCACACATAGGGTTGTGTGTTCCTTCCAAACAACTCAACTTTGGTCTATCTATCCACAGAATATTTTGCTAGTAGTGCTGTGGAACATCCAGGCACCCTTTTGCAAACTTCAGACATGCAGCTGTGTTTTTTTGAACAGCAGTGGCTTCCTCTGTGGTGTCCTCACATGAACTCCATTCTTGTTTAGTGTTTTATGTATCGTGCAGTCGTCAACAACAGAAATGTTGGCATGTTCCAGAGATTTCTGTGAGTCTTCAGCTGACACTCTAGGATCCTTCTTAACTTCTTTGAGCATTCTGCTCTGTGCTCGTGCAGTCATCTTTGCAGGACGGCCTCTCCTATGGAGAGTAGCAACAGTGCTGAAATCTTTCCATTTATAGACAGTTTATCTTACTGTGGACTGATGTACATCATACTTTTACAGATACTTCTGTAACCCTTTCCAGCTTCAAGCAAGTCAATAATTCTTAATCTTAGGTCTTCTGAGAGCTCTTTTGGTCAAGGCAGGGTTCACATCAGGCAATTCTTCATGGGAATAGCAAAAGCAAAATTTATGTGTTTTTTAAATAACTAACACCTTCAATCTCGTCTCATTGATTGGACTTCAGGTTGGCTGACTCCTGACTCCAGTCAGCTTTTGGAGAAGTCATTAGCCTAGGGGTTCACATACTTTTCCCACCGTGGCTGTGACTTTTACTCAGTGTGTTCAATAAAACATGAAAATATATAATTGTTTGTGTGGATTTAGTTAAAGCAGACTATGTTTGTCTATTGTTGTGAAAATCAGATCACATTTTAAGACCAATTTATGCAGAAATCCAGGTAATTCCAAAGGGTTCACATACTTTTCCTGCGACTGTAAGCATCCCAGCATTGTGTAACTAGTTTAATATGTGAGCAGTGTTTAGCCATGAAGCCTAATTGGCCTTGTCCTTTTGTTCTATACATATTCTCCATACAAGATCTGCTGCCTCTTTATTTTTGTCTAATCATTTTAAATGAAGATCTGCTTTATGTTGCTGTGTTTGACCTAATGTTGCAAACCAATTCTTCTCTCTCTCTCTTTTGAAAGCTTCACACTACTGTGCTAAGACTCAGAATCAGCCCTGACTATAAAATTAACTGACAACTTCCGACCCTTTTGAACCAACAGCTGTGAAAACAGGAGATTTCTTTTCTAAGTGTCAGATTCAAAGAACATGTAGGCCAAAAGTAACTCACAAACTTCACAATGACACTTCGAAAAAACTGTTATTGGATGATGGGCAAACAATGTCAATGTCCTGTTGCACAAAGGGAATTTAATCAGAAACAAGATCAACCGATGAGGCTTTGATTTTCCAGAATACATTATGTAGTTTCATCAGTTAACACGACGACGATTGTTATTATCATTAAGTTATCTAAATCAAAGCTTTTGCTTTGATGCACGCTGCTAAGCAAAGTAAGAAATGAAGAAAGCAGAGGAAGAAAATGAAAGACTCCCTCCCTGAAAGAAAGCCTTGAAGTAATGTTTTGGCATATATAATCTTCCTATGATCCCTGTATGATGTTGGGAGGCAGGACTATGTTGCAGTATTACCCAATACTGAAGAAATTAGTTGGCATTGTGCAGTATTTCCCTGCATGTCCCTTTTGAGATGACACTGTGGAACAACAGTTGTTCTTGTTCTTTGTTTTTCAGTCTGACCAAGAGGCCTGGAGATGGAAACGTACCCCATGACATATGTGTTTTCCCACTAAAGTCAAAACCCATTTTGCCACAGTTCAAAAGAATGCATGTCAATTGATCATAACATTCAAAAGACACTTGCTTAACTAAGAGTTAAACTAGCATGATATGTTTTTTTAGCGACAACATGGATATATAATCTTATTTATACATTTACATATCCTACAGACACAGAGCAGATGGATTCGTGGACTCTCCTTCTGGCTTTGTTTTTGGTATCTACCAACTCCAGAGGGAAATATCTGGCCAGTTAAAGGCTCCACTATATTCACCAGCCAGTTGCTAACTTTGTCCATCTTTGCGTCAAGCCGGGCAG